AARSCYTTTTAAGGATGAATGTCAATGGGAATCAGTTTTTTGTAATAGAGGTTTTATAAAATGACTGACAGATGTTGAGATTTGAAGATTATTATATCAATATTCCTCTATTTTTTCGGCATTTCGAGACCTCAGTGTCGATTTGTAGAGAAAGTGTAGTCTTGGTATCTTGATGTCAGCTTGATAAAATGATCTTTTTGATAAATAAACCACTTGAATTAGCTTTTTTTGTATTTATTTGAGCAGGGAGAATATAATTCCAATTCATTGTGTGAAAGTTTTTAGTCTGTCAAACTTTCGGGTATTCAAGCACTCACGCGTGGCATGTTCAGTCGGTAATTTTCAAGCATTACTTGAAATGTGATGTACTGCTTGCTTGACAATACCACTTAAATGTTTTGTTGGGAAAATTAGCCTTTTTTCGTTGTTATTATCATTATTTGTTTGCAAGCTTACTGATGATTTCCAACATAGTTTATATTTCCTTCCAACATGACATGTCCATTAGCCAAGGTTTCCAATGTTCTTAATTATTATACATAGATGATCTCAGCCAGGCTTTCAGGTTGAGAATCTCACTATTAATTAAAGCATTCAATTTCAATCTAATTTTCRTCTCATATGGCGACCTGTCAGCTTACCATCCACAGGGTTCGYGCTACTCCTTGAACTCATTGAAAAGCCCTTGATTTTGATTTAGAACTCGTTTTTAAGTGCACTTGAWAAGCCCTTGAAAATGGGAAAAATGCCAAAATTCCTTGAATTTTTACTCAGAGTTGTATTTTCAATCTTGTAAGATTAAAAGCTCATTAAAAAGTGTAATCTTCTGGATGTATTTTTTTCGATGGTCCACTCAAGCTTTCTCGCTCTTGAAAGATGAAGTGTTCTTTTTGTTATTTACCAATTGGTGATCCAGTATTTWCTAAGCTCAAAAAGTAAGGCCTTTTATCAATTTATATTTTTGGGTGTTGAGAGAGAATGTGCCCTGTGTTAGGGGAAGGCTGTTTGGGCTGGGCCAATCTAGTATAGAATACTACCTGTATTGCAATGATAAGCTGACTTTACATTTTACAGGATCTGGACTATTTGAGTGAAGGACTAGAGGGAAGAACTTTCAACCCAGTTGCTCTTCTATTTGACCAGCTACAAAGGCCCAATACTGACTTGGGATATGAGGAAGGGTCATGTCTACAGTGGATCAATAATCCCGACCATGCTGTCAATCATCTTGTCCTTGGTTATGGTCCTCCTGGGGGGAGCTGGCATAACATGCAAGGATCACAGCTTACACTTAGCCTTAATAACTGGCTTGAGCTKCCTGGATTTGAATTCCAGGATTGGCTTAGAGACCATAAATATGATAATGTCCGTAAACCTTGCACTTTGGAGAAGAGTGATTTGGCAGGAATTGGAAACACATACAACCGTGCAACAACTAGTCATGTTGCGCAGTACTACAAGGATTATGTCGAAAAGATGAACTTATCAAAATATATTAGAAATGATTCAAAAGTGTTGTCAGTGAAAAAAGGTCAGACAGGRCTGTGGGAAGTACGTGGAGTAAAAGGAAGTTATCCAAATGACATTGAACCATTTGAAGTTTTAACTCACAGTGTAGTTTTAGCTACAGGTAATAATGTGGCAAAGGTTCTTGGTATTCCTGGAGAAAAACACCAATTTGTCTATCATCACATGGTTGATTTAGATGAATTAATGTGTGACCAGGAAGAGTGTGAGATCCAACCAGATCCATGCCTGGTGGTTGGTGGTGGACTGTCTGCAGGTGATGCTGTACTGGGACTTCTGTCTAGAGGCATTCCTGTAATACACAGTATACGCAGAAGCATTAATGACCACAATATCATTTATAATAACCTAACACCAGACGTATATCCAGAATATTGCAGTATAAAGAAAATGATGAAAGGAACACATTCAAAGGCTGTTGATGGATCATATGAATGCTTACCCAAAACAAAACTGGTTGAAATTTGTAACAACAAAGAATGTATTTTTCGAAGGTCTGATGGAACTCAATTCAAGAGAAAGGTTTCCAATGTATTTGTTTTAATTGGTGGAAGACCAGAGCTGTCTTTCCTTCCACATGCAAATGAGCTTGGTATGGAAAAGARCCTTCCATTGGATAGCAAGTCTAATCCAGTAGATATCAACCCTTTTACCTATGAATGTCAAGGTGAACAAGGGYTGTATGCACTGGGGCCCCTTGTTGGTGATAACTTTGTCCGTTTTGGTATGGGAGGTGCCTTGGGGATTGTCAACCATTTATTTCGTATTGATCAGTAATTTTGCATGCACACCTTTTTTTACCATGTTTCTATATTATTCTCTATTTCGTCCTTGCAYCAACATCAGACCTTAACTTTTCCAATTAGTATTAACAGTAATTTATGGTGTTTCCTCGTCAAATTACTTGTCAGTCATCCAAACATTTGCCTACAATCATCACATGCAACCTGCATAAGTCATTCTTCCAACATGGCTACAACTGTTGTAGGCCTATTAAGCAATTGTTTGAAATCCCTTTAATAGTTGTAGACATGTTYGAAGCATAATTTATACAGGTTRCTTGCAAAGGTTGTAGACAAAACTAATTTGGCCTTCAGGTGCCTAAAAAGAGTGAAAAATCTTCTTTTTTCTTTCCACAATCTRAGTGGCATGAAAGCCAGGATWAYRTCWGRGACAAGTAATTTCCAAATCCAATGCATTCRTGAAGATGACATATATTACTGTTGTTACGTACATATATAAAGCATGTTTTTTCCTGTCTTTTTTATTATTTTGATTGCTTGTTTTTWTCTCTTACACTGTATATTATGTACAATTTGTAATATTCTTTGATACCAGTTTTTTAATTCCACAATCCACCATATTGTAGGATAAATCACAAGCAATTGTGTTGCCCATGGAAACAAATTTGGTCCTTTCACACAAAAAAAATATCTTATTTAATACCAAGTACAGGTCAATTTTTTTCCATTTATATCACATGTATCTGATATAATTGCAAGCTCATTAATCASCACCTGTTTTTGATATGGTTGCATGAAATAGCAAGAAAAGTCAGTTTGGTAAGTCTAGATGTTTTCCTATCTGACTAAAAAAACAAATATTGAATGTACACCAATGTATTTAATGCTCAATAAAACATGGATTAGTCATTATGTTATCATTTTGTTATCTGAGTTGTCCCTCCTGACACTAGTGTCTTCTCTAAGCTTAATGATACCATGATCACTTGGGATTCTTTTGTCTTCCGAGGGATGTTTACAAGCGAATATCCCTCAAGAATAGGATGAGGGACGATTACTAGTACCGTATGCATAATAACATGAGGGAAGATTAGAATAATCGTCCCTCGTGTTATTCATGAGGAACGGAAGGCAAAGGAAAACTTTGCTTCCTAAATAAGCTGTCATCTTTTTAACACTGCAATGAACGGTCTCGTTATCGTCTATTGATTGGTTCCTCTTAGGGGTGAAATTTCAGCACTGCCACGCCCATCATCTCACAATACAGGTCCCTTTTAGGGGTCATTTTCAGAATTTCCGACAATAACCCCTGCCCTTTTATATAATGGAGTCCCCCGGTATAGCACTAACTCGTGCCCTGATGCGCCCACTGAGGCTAAGGTGCCTTTAGAGTTCACTTGATATTTCCTTTGGGTGGAATGTGTTACTTTATTATTTATCGAACTGCACTACTGAATAGTACTCTTTGATTAATATTATTTGAATAATTAGCAACAAGCTACATTGTATATATATCCGATGCATTGTGGGTAATTAAAACCCATTCAAAAGAAAGGCATATAAAGGTATTTACTATTAGATTCCCTCATAAAAATACTTTTTCTTCGGGGCATTGAAGTCTGTTTACCAAGAAATCCAATTTTGTTAATCTAAGTAAAATTCTACAAAATAATTTTACTGTGGTTGGAGACAAAATCCTTCACTATAAACTTAGCATGTTTGGCACAATTGTTGACTAGTTTTTATTTGTTGTGTTCCCTGTGGGGAAGAAGGGGAAAAAAGGACTGGAGGAGGGAAATGGAAAAGTTAGATGACAGTACTTTAGCTCTTCCTTTCATTTTTTCCCCAGCGTAACACAGGAAGCCCGTTTTTTTAAGAAAGGAAAAAGGTGGCTATGGAAGAGGCTAGTGATGTTCATGATGTTCATAGAACCAAAACATATAAAGTCAGCTATTAGATCTATTAGAGTACAAACATTAAATGTGTGAAACACTTTCCACTATTTACTACAAAAATAGTGTTGATTAAACAATAGATAACATAGAATTAGCATAAATTAGCAGTATTTAGTGGTATTTATGTTGCACAGTTTTAGTGTTTGTGATCTAGTCCAATTTATTAATTGACCAGTTTACACATAATATAATTAGTGCAAAACCATTCTCTTATTCCAGTTTATTTCATGGATATTTGCTCTAAATCATGTGACATTCAGTATTATACAGCAACATTGTTTGTTTGTTTCCTCTAATGAAGAAACCATTGTCTTTAATCCAAATAACACGATCACTGTGAATTCTACTGCTGCTTATTCTTTAACTGTGCTCTCTTCCCTGTAATAGCCTGGAATCCTGACTTTATGCTTGCCACAGAACAGCGAGATCCACATGTTTCACATTGTAGGAAAAACAAGCGAGTTTCTTTCTGTAGAATTGTATCAGGTGATCGACAAGTATGACAAGTCACATATTCCTCTGTGTAAAAGAACAAACATTCAGTTAGCACTGTTTCTTCTTCACGTTTCCAATGATGTTAAC